CATAGCAAAACTATGCACTGGTTTTTGTAGAAATGTCAACTGGCATTCACATCAGTGACGAATTTCACCTCCAAAGAAGGATATAATGGGCCCAAAAACTGTTAGCTGACTAAAAAGAACTCATCGTTTGAAGTCGTGAAAACAAAAGTACCAATAAATGAATTTACAGTCTATCTGAAAGCGCCAGTAGGAGTAATGATAAAATGAAAGGTGCCGTGACGTTGTAGTAGGCATAATATCAAACATATGTAAATAAAGAGATTGGATAGAATGCGACAATGAACCCACTTTATATATCTGATTGACTTGCTTTTGGTTTTTTGGGTCTGATGCAGCTGGGTGAGCGCATTTATTATTGGATGAAGTTGGATCTGTAACACCAGTCTGGGCAGGTTTATTTGAAGATAATGCGGTTTTCTGATTTGAACCATTAGCTAAACAAGATTCAAAATAACAAGCTAGCGAGTTCTACGAAACGTGATTTAATCATGTCTTAATTTTATATCATTCATTAAAGAACTAATACGAAGTTTTAGGTTTAGAGAGTTCATTGAACTCGACATCACTTAAGTCCCATGACTTGATGGAGTAGAAGTAAAAAAATCTTCAGGTAGTCAAAATAATTGAGGTGAATTAGCGGACCAAGTTCCACACAGGGATGAAAGGTGAACCATAATAAGTCTAGTACTGGATAGTAAACCCATGTTTCATAAGCAAGAGACTCCGTGGTTATATGACAAAAAAACTAGTTGGTGTTTATTATTACGTAGTTTGAGCACAAAGTATGGTCGTTAGTGAGATTTCAAACTAAGACAACAACTGTCTCTCTTCACGAGTACGCCACCGAGACCTCCAGTCTCGGCCGCAAACGCTTAGTCTCCTGACCACTGGAGTGGCGGTCCAATTTACACAACTAAATCAGTACGGCAACACGAAGCTAGGAAGTTGTGAACATCAAATTGAGTCGAAGTAGTCTTCGTTTTATTAATGGGAAAGGCTTAATATTATAATGAGTATGTTCGAAAACAAGAGATGAGTTCGAGTTTAAGATATACGAATTGACGATAAAAGTTTTAGAAATAAAGGGGCAAATATGTTCCTTACAACAAATGGCTTTGTAAGTTTTCAACATTGGTTTATTTGAATACGTCCATGGTTGAAGGTACTCGGTCAAGAATTTGCACCCGATTACCTTTGGACACCCAGTGCTGTGCATTTCTTACGATAACTAAGCTTACATTTTAAACTTTGAGACATTACATCATATGACTCACGTTCTTTTGCGTTACATCAACCTTGACTTTTGGTTTCCTTTACTGACTTCGAAATCATTACGTAAGAAGAGATTGCGGACAGTAGTGTTGTTAAACGTTGCGTATCCGTGACATCTTTGGAGGGAAACAGATTGTATCAATGGTCGGTTCTGAATTATGTATCGCAGTGAATTCACCCATTGGTCGCTTCTGTCATGGGTGATTGGAACCATGTAATTTACGTCAGTCATGATGGCTCAATTCGACAATAAATGTCTTTAAGGATACCAATCTAACCAGGCCAGCATCGTATACCTACTTAGGCGGTGGTTCAGTTCAAGTAACAAATGACGCTACCATCTCAATTAGTGGTAAATCACAACCTCATTAATCGATACGCCATCATTGGTTAGATTCAGAGACACCCATGACCAAACACTTCTAGTCTACGTGTCATCTACGTTTCACAGATACAGACTAGTACAGGACGCAATGAATAGCATTTGTTTTATGAGACTGTTATTTAGTGACTAGAAATCTTGGTTGGTATAATTGATTTTTCGATCGAAATAGTGAATACATTAGCATCAAGTCTGAACATGTCTTGGGTTGGACCCCTAATTATATGAATGTACATAGTAGGATGAAACAACTGTCTAATGCTACCTACTCTTGTTCGAATCATTTAGTTTGAATTTTGAAACCATATATTACTATTCATGCATACAGTTCGATTTGATGTTTAAATTTTTTGACTGACATTTAACTAGTTCAATCAAATTTGCAATCATCAATTCCATGTTATACATACAAAGTGACTTAAAACATGTTTTACAACCGCCAAGGTTTTACTAATCATTACAGTTAACTGTGAAAAAAATTAAATGATCCGTTTAACCAATCCTGGTTGGATTTTTTTTAAAATATCAGTATGACCTTCTATTGTTGTACTAAATGTTGTAAACAGACTTATTGGTCTAGGTCACATGCTTTGTTTACGATGACTAATATTAGACAATACACACACATTTGAGGTCATTTAGTTGGTTATGACTTTTAATACATGAAAATCAGTTGTATATGAGAATTATTGATTATTTTTATTTACTTTTAATAATAAGAGGCTTAGTTGGATTAGAATGTGTTTATGTCCGATTTTGTATCAAACAATAAGATAGTTATTATTTTTTGATTCATATGAAAAACAACCCTTAAAGTAATAAATAGATTAACACAAATAGGAAAAATCATTTCAGTGAACTTTAACGTTTTCAGCCAGGATTAATGAAATGAAAAAAAAAACGCTTTGCACTTTCATTCAAAGATTTCTAATTATTCCAGAACTAAGTCCACTATATACGTTTTTTTTAATGTTCACAACATAAGTTAATTCATGAGTATCAAAACAAGATGGCTAACCATACATAATCAATATATGCTTAGGTTATAATTTATTTCCAATTAATATCATGGAAAGATTTCGGATTAAAATAGATAATATGAAATATTAATAGTTGAATTCATGAGTCAATCTAAGCTAAATCACCATTGAAAACCTGGAGTTCTAGTGAGAAGCCGTAACCGGTGGAATCCAATCCATGTTGAGGAGAAACATATATCTACCCCATACAATTGATGAATAGTTGCACAAGATCATGGATCGATTGAGATTAGACATAAACACCGTTGGATATCGTCTCAGTGGTCTAGGGGTTAAGCATTCGCGCGCGACACCAAAGGTCCTGGGTTCGAGTCCCACACGTGGGATCGTGGATGTGCACTGCTGAGTAGTCCCGTAAAAGGACGACATGGCTATCCAGTGTTTTCAAGATTTAAATGGTCGTCTAGCTTAAATCGATCCATAAAATCGACTACTAAACTTAATACAATCTTCACAAACCCCCATTCCGTTAATAAGTGATTTATCAGAATACTATGTTTTTATAACATATCAAAAAGAATGAAATGTTATTGGACAACCAACATACTTTTGCTTGGATTCAATTTTCCAATGTTAGAATTATTATTGTTAAAAGAGTGGGTAGAAATTTTACCATGATCAATCATATTGGATGCTTTCAATGATTGTACAGCTACTGCAGAACGATTACGAAGAACCGGAGGTACGTAAGCCGAAGAACGCTTATTTACTGAATCTACATTAACCTTTAACGAGGGAAAGGAATAATGATTGTTATACACAATAAGACAGAAATAAGAATATATCGTTACGTAAACAAAATGTTTGAGTATAAAATATATGAGGGTGCTAATGAGTCACAAGGATTACAAGCAAAGATGGATGATCGCCAGCAATGGGATCCAGGACAAACGTTTCATCCTATTTGGGACTCGTCAGCTGGATGTACTTGCATCTCAGTTTATGTTCACTCCGCAACTCGAACACAGTTCGCTTTGAGAGTCATCGCGTTATTCACTTAGCATTCTGCAGTATAATAGTTATTGATGCATATTTCAAAGTGTTCATTTCATCAAATAGATAGATATGTATGTTGTTTTTATTAATGAGATTTGAACTCACAATCGATATATTCTATATATCATTATTCAATACAATCGTTCAGTTATGGTTGAATAAGTGAACTTGGGTTGACTTCAATAAACTTAAATTCTCTCAATTATCATCAGCATTCTCTATCCAACTCCGTTCTGAACAATCCTTTCCAGTTGCTATTCATCCTTTTGATGTCTGCCTCCTAATCCCGGAGCAGTGTGTTCTCTGGTCTTCCTCTTTTCCTTTCCCCTTCAGGATTCCAAGTTAGCACTTGATTTGTGAAAAAGTTTGATGATTTCATCAATGTATGTCCTACTCACCTCCGACTTCTTTTCCTCATTTCTTCTTCAACTCGATGTTGGTTTTTTCTCTACCACAGTAGGCCGTTGCTGATGGTACTCCGCAAACTGATATTCAGTATATTGTCTAGACGACTGTTTATAAATACTTGTATTTTTTAATGATGGTTGTGGTAGTTCTCTACGTTTCAGCTTCCTATAGTCGAACTTTCTTGACGTTCGTGTTGAAGATTCCGAATTTGATATTGTTTGACAGTTGTTTTGAGTTTTATATTTTCTTCAACTGTGTGAATGCTGTCCTTACTTTACCAGTATTTACCTTTACGTCTGCATCAGATACTTTTTGTTCATCGATGATGCTACACAGGTACGTCAAAGTTTCCACCTGTTCCAGAGTTTCTCCATCAAGTGTGATTGTATTGGTGTTCACCGTGTTATATGTTAGGATCTTGGTTCTTCCCTTTTGTATGTTGAGACCTACTGATGCGGAGGCTTCTGCTACACTGGCTGTCTTCATCTGCATTTGCTCGTGTGTATGAGATATAAGAGCTAGGTAATCTACGAAGTCCAAATCGTCTATTTGCGTTCAAGTTGTCCATTGTGTTCCGTGCCACCCTTGAGATGTGGTCTTTAAAATACAGTTAACCACCGGAAGATAGAGAGTAGGCAGTTTTGTCTGACTCCCGTCCTCCTTGGAATATGTTTATCAGCTGTGTTCCATGCATGAATTTGCAGTGTAATCCGTTACATGAATTTCGAATGATGCCGACGATTTTCCCAGCTACTCACACCATAGTGTAGAGGAAGGTTGCATAAGGTCCTCCTATCCACACTGTCAAATGCTTTCTCATAGTCAATGAGGTTGATGTATAGTGACGAGTTCAATCTGATTGATTGTTCAACGATGATCCGTAGTGTCGCGATTTGGTCCGTGCACGACCGATCCTTACGGAATCCGACTCGTTGATCTCGAAGCTGGTCGTCCGCTAAGTCTTCCATCCTGTTCTGCAACATTCCGTTGAAGACTTTTTCCGGTACCGATAGTAGTGTGAGACGCCTCTGTAGTTCTCGCACTTGCTCAGATCTCCTTTATTTGGTATCTTGATGAGGTATCATTCTCTCCGGTTCATCGGCACCTGTTCTTCCTCCCGAATCTTCCTGGATAGAATGTGGAGCATGTCTGTAGTTGCTCCTGTGTCTGACTTCAGAGATTCGGGTTGTAAATTGTCAGGTCCTGTTGCTTACCTACTCTTGATTTGTCTGATGGCCACCCTGATTACTTCGATCGTTGATAGTTACATCTGTAGGAAGGTCTGTAGGTACTGGTGAGATGTCTGGTGGATTCAATGGAGCTGGTCTATTCAAAAGTTCTTCAAAGACTTCCATCCACCAGTTCCTCTGTTCTTAAATCTCAGTGATCGGCCTCCGCCTGTAGCTCTTCTAGGGTTACTGTCGGTCACATGACCAGGTTAAGGATGACGGTTGTGCATGGGGTTAGCAACCCATCATGTGAAAAAAAAGTGCTTAGAAAGCGCTATCAACACTTAGAGGGTAGATATAATTTTAGACGCCATATCAAACACAACAACTGTTCTCTCTGCTTACCGATGTTTTTAACTGTTATCTCAATTGACTGACGATTAAGTAAAGTTTGGTATTCAGAGAAATAAATAATCTGTTACTAAAGTAATTCATTTAAAATAATACAGCCTTGTTTGTTCACCTTTATGCTGTTTCATTTTGTGAATAGAAAGTAAAGTTCTTAACATAATTAAAACAATTCGAAAACTTACAGACTCAAACTTTTTCGGTTCAGGAGCAGATTCCAGTTTTGTTGGAAATATAACTGAAACTTGATATAGTTCATGATCAACTGCAGCGGGTAAATCAGGTGTAGCTGCTCTAGGAATAGCACGTCGTTCAACTGGTCGAAAGGATAATTGTTTACCACTATAATGCCATATCCCAAATCTATGAAAGTTAAGATAATAAGGTTAACTTAAAAATTAACTAATGATTAATGAAGAAAAAATCATAAGAATAATAAGTTTATGGGTATACAGTGATTCCACATCAAGCTGAAAATATTCTGACTATATTTTGAATCATCTAGTAACAAGACAAACTATCAATAGGGCTGGAAGAATAAGCTATGCTGACGTTACTATAAAATTTATTTGATTACATAACGTACCAACGTATGGGTTCTTTGAGTCAAACTTATTTCACGAAGGTCAAATGTGTTAGGCGACCATACAGATCGAAGTATATCATGAGTAGTATAAACGAATCCATGATTCATTAGTTGCAAGGTGAACATTTTAACGCCGATGTTTTCTTTTTCTTTTAGTGAATAACTTTCAAAGGTGCCAGTGGTCAATAATTAATCAATACAATACACAAAATCACACAATTTTCACGATGAGTAAATTAATTTGAATAGATAAACAAACAAAATTAATCGATTTGATAGAATTCCGATTTTACAGTTTCCGAACATGATAAATAAATATTTGATGCGAATTAAAATCAAAGCTAAACAAATGGATTTGAATATAAAGGACAGGCAACTGTGAAACAAATCATCGATTGAAAAATCGAGTAGAGAAAATTATGCAGTCTCATAAAATAAAAATAGAATGATAATGATGTTGATGGACTAACGACGAAGCACAGTAGTTGTTGTCCACTAAGACGGAAGCTATTATGATTGACGGGAACTTTCCGTTCAGAAAGTTTATGTTAGATTTATGCTACAATGAATTCAATAGAGAATGTTCTGGAATCGAATATGGATTGGAGATGATAATCATGTAATGCTCATCTTGAATGGTTACATTTAGGAATGAATGATAAGAGTTGCTTATATGAATCCGGACAAAACAATGAATACCTAGAACCTCTATTATTATAGTGAAAATCTCTAATTTGGCGAATGACGTAATACAACCACAACAAGAATGAAAAAGGGCGAAGAGATGAGTGGCGTAAAACGACATCAGAACTAGTAAGGAAAAAAGGCGATAGCACATAAAAACGACAAATTACAATGAAAAAATCACAAAATGATACATCTCGGCAGTTTGATGGATTAGAGGTTGATGATCCAACACAACTGATCTAGTTTCTACAACGATATATCGTAACCTAACTACCATATCCCAGTTCTAAACAACAGAGTTTCAATAACAAAGGAGATTTGTTCCAGTCAATTGAAGGTAGGTGTAAAAAAGTTAAAGCTAGAAGAAAAACTAGGTAATGAAGATGGGATTTGATTATCAGCGGGGTGATCCAGAGTGCTATTAGCAGAATGGGAGCGACTGTCACTTCCTGGCTGCCAACATCTTGGAAAAAATTTTCTTCCTGAGGTACCTGAAGAAAAGGAACGAGATTAGGGGAAGTCTTGAAGGCTTAGAAGCATAAAGTCAGTCAGTCTGATGAAGCAACATCGAAAATGGGAGACTTTCGGTATTTCATACATTCAAGAATTGACAAATTCGTCGAGTATCAAAAAGAAAACATACTACGAAAATGCAACTAACCCATTATTTACACGTAATCTTGGAGTTGTTGTAGCAAATATTAAATGTTCACCATCTGGTAACCATTGAACACTTGTCACATCAGTTGTTTTAAATGAAGATAAACGTTCATGAGTTGAAAAATCCCAAACACACATATCGCCTGACAAATTACCTAGCCCAGCTAATAACAATAGTAAACTATAAGAAAAATAATGAGACGGTTAAGGTGAAAGCAGAGACTTTCATCACTGTTTCTTACTACCTGAATTTACTCTATAAAATTAGGTTATTTGAACAATCATACGGGGAATAAAAGACCAACAGTAGCATAATATTTTAGCTGGAATGCTGTACTCGCTTTGACAGTCTGTGCCTTCACATCTAGATCAGATCCACGTTACTTATCAATAATGCCGGTCAAGTACATGAAAGTTCCCACCTGTTACAGAGTTCCTCCATCAACCGTGATTTGATTGGTATTCTCTGTATTGTATTTCAGGACCTCGGTCTTTCCCTTGTGTATGTTGAGGGCTTAATTCTGCTAAACTGGCTGTCTTCAGTTGTCTTTGTTGTTATGTAAGAGATATAAGAGCTAAGTCATCTGAAAAGTCCAAATTGTATCTATGAAAAAAGATTTCGAACTCATTTCCTTATTAATTTATATAAACAAAAATTATAAATTGTTTTTCAACAATGTAAGATAACCAGATAAAAATTATTGTGATATCGTTTCCCATTGTCTATAACAATTATCTGTAGAAAAGAAACTGTAATTACAATTACAATGTAAACATAAACATGAAAGTAAATTTATTCACAAAACTAATCATCAAATAAAGGATATGATTCCCATGAGGATTGAAATGAATTTCATTCCATGAACCTGTTCCAAAATCATGAACTGGTTCACAGTTCAAATTGAATATAGTTACAGATGCTGGTGTAACTAAAACGTTGAATAGAGAAGAATAAAATAATAATAGAATTATTTGATGGAACGACTGATCAGATTATATTTATTAATTGAAATGTTCATAATGAATTTAATAACTAGTCGTATAGAAAAAAAAACTAGTTTCAATACACAATGGTTAATTACTGAGATCGATAAATTAGAAATTATGAACAGTATCTACTGTGTGAAGGTTTATAACATTTACCAGTGATAAAAACATTGGATTTTCATTTCTAGATAGATCTAATTAGCAGAATTTGCAATATAAACAATAAAATCTACCATCAGTTACTGAGTTAGATGAAATAATAATTTGAATCGGGACCAATGAAAACATCGTATATTTATGTTTTAATTAATGTTTTCTACACATTCGATGATCACTCCGAGATGGAAAGATAACTTGCCTACATCAGTGAATTCTTTCTATATCTATCAATTCAACTGCTCCTGTGGAGTAAGTTCTATTGGTAGGTGTTCTAGGTACTTATATTCTCGAGCTCGCGAGCACCTCCCAGCGTATCTAAGCAGCTCCATTTTAGCTCATTTAGTTCAAACGGACTATACAGCCAACATGGAGCAATCTTTCACCGTAATATATCATGTTAACAGCAGTCTGCCTAAATCCGTCAGACTGAGAATCCTGCAGACGGCTAAAGCAATTGCTATTCGGATCAAAAAGCCAGAGCTTTACGTTCAAAACAAATTTGTTCAACCGCTCCTTTTACTTTAGCCAACTTCGTAGCCTAATTAGTTAATAATCAATTTTCTGATATGGTGTAAGTTGATTAATGTCCATTTTTATATCTTATCCATATATCTTCTCATTGTTATTATTATGATTATTATAAAACCTGCCAACATTTTCGAGAAATTTATCCAACATCCACACTTATCTACTAATTCGTACTCAATTCACATTATTTTACTTATTACGTAATATCTGGTTTGTAACTACATTGTTCACTCGCTCATCCCATGTTGAGCAGAATTGATCAGATATCTCACAATTTCATTTGACGTATAAACTTATTTAAGTTAACAGTTCATATTAATCACCCCAACATTAACGACCTAGCAACAAGAGAAGTTAATATCAGATAACTATATGATATAATAAATAAACTGGCAGGGAAATATAGTAGACCAGTCAAGGACAAAGAAGGCAAGCCGGTCACTGAGATTTAAGAACAGTGAAACAGATGGGTAGAGCAATTCGAATTCTTAAATAAACCAGACCCACTGAACCCATTAGATATCAAAGCAGCACACACAACCCTTCCCATAGCTGTCACTTCACCAACGACCAAAGATATCAGGATGGCCATCAGACAAATTTGGTAAGAAGAAGTGCCTAATTTAAACGACAAAGAATCTTTGGTTCACAAATTATAATTTTAAATGATATACTTTGTCTTAAATCTGGCCAATTTTATGGATTATTAATTTGGATATATAATTGTAAAACCTGATGCGAAATTATTGAAAAGAATATTCTTCGTTCATACAATTGTCTTTTAATATAATGGGAATTTTTCAACGAATAATGATTGCAATATAAATCGTAGCTTAAATAATACTTATTCTTTTTTAAACAATTCAAACCAAACATCAATGATTTCACTAATTTATACATTAGCTTACTTGTAACAAATAACTCTTGGTGTTTGTTTTTGCCACACTATACTAGTGCAACAACTAGAAACAATCATGAATATGTCTTAAAAGAAATTTATGTCAATCGATTTTTGACGAATACAATAAACGTTAATGACTTCATTTCACAATAACCAATTGATTGGAATCAACAACAACTGACAACTGATTTAATTATGATTCTTAATATTAAAAAAAAAATTAGTTACAATATAACTAGATTTACCAGGTTATCAAATCTATTAATTAATGGTCACATGATAAGTACATTGATTTGATAGAGAATGTTAAGAATTTCATTACGGATAGATATAATCAGCTTATACAATAGTTTCTAGACACCATATTCATTTTGATTGTAAAGTTACATCAAACAAGAAAAGAAGCGATCTGTGTCTGTTGAATGATTAGATTATACTGCAGTAATAGCTAAATTATCTCAAATGTAAACCTCTATGACTATTAAATAACTACGTATGGAGCTCCTCGAACTCCACCTGTAGCTCTTATGGGGTTACTGATGGTACCAAGCTCGATTAAAGGAGGAGGGTTGGGCATGGGGTCAGCAACCCAATCCCGTAGAAAACAAATTTGCTAAAAAAACACTAACCAGAATAAACAAATTAAATTATTTAAACTCCGTCCTCCGAGTTTAATGATCTTCATTTAGAAGAATTATGACGGTTCATAGTGAAAGTAAGTAAGTAAGTATGGAACGCCTCTACGGCTACTTCCAGTCCTAGGCCAGCGTAAAGAGGGAGGGTTGAAGGCGGAGTTAGCATCTACACCTACCAAAAAAGCTCCTAAACAAAATTTCTAATCAGAAGAAACCAATTAAACTTGAAAAAGCAAGTCCCAAGCATTACACAATCTACCAGAAGAACAACTAGAGAGAGATTAAAGAAGAACTAGCTTCGACATGGCTGAAGGATCCGGTATGTAAGAAGCACCATCATAAAGAGTGGATCTCTTTAGTTACCTTAAGTAAGATGCAAGAAATAAAAACATAACAAGGAGACAGTAATCAACAAGAAAAACAAGAGGAGAGAAATTCAAGGTACAGGCCGAATATACAGAAGCAAACAGATGGATGAACAGCATTACAGGTGATAAGCAAAAATATGTGGAGGACCTAGTAATGAAAGCATAAAAAGCTGAAAGAAAACAAGATGTGATAGGATAGACCAGCTCCATTGGACCCTCAACATACACAAAGGAAACAGCAAGGTCCTGAAATACAACACAGAGAACACCAACCACATTACACTTGATAGAGGAACTCTGTAACAGGTGGGAACTGTCATGTACTTGACCGGCATTATTGATAAGTAACGTGAATCTGATCCAGATGTGGAGGCACGGACTGACATAGCGAGTACAGCATTTCCACAATCGAAGAACATCTGGAACTCAAAACAACTGTCTGATAACGTCAAAATCAGAATTTTCAATACAAATATCAGAAACAGTATTGTTGTACGTCGCTGATGCTTGGATAACTACTACAAGCATCATCAAAAAGGTACAAGTATTGATAAACAATTGTCTACGCAAGATACTTAATGTCAATTGAACGGATATCATTAGCAACAACTGACTGTGGGAGAGAATCCGGGAGTTGAGGAGGAAGTTAAAAAAAGGTAGTGGAGGTGGGTAGGACATAGTTTACGGAAACGGTCAAACTGTATAGGAAGGCAAGCTCTAACTTGGAATCCTCAAGGCTAAAGAAAAACAGACAGACCGAAGAACACATGGTGTTGGGCATTGGAGACAGATATCAAGATCATTAATTGTAGTTGGTGATAGCTGGAAACAAGAGACCAGGAGAGAGCTGTCTAGAGATCTATGATATAGCGCCTATAACTCTTCCAAGAGGGGTAACAGGTCAAAGTAAGAAGGTAGATGTACAACTCCATATTCGCTGTTCATTCTGTAAATAAATAATCGTTAATATAAACAACCCAGTAGTACATGTTTGAAAAGAAAAAGAATCACTTACATCCATAACAAACAACAAAATATTCTTCAACTTTTTTATTTTTATTCTTTTTCACCATAGAAGACGAATAATTTGTTGGTTGAAAAGCTATTTGATAAATTGGACCTTTACGTGGCATTGGAACAATCGCACTATCACCGGATCGACTAGCTGATATGAAATAAAGACCTTGATCCCCATAATAACTTTCATCACTAAGCTTAGAAAAGAAATGAAGAAAACGCAATGAGGAAATGAGAGAAAACCAGATACAACATACAGTTTAATGGGTGATCTACTTTGCAACCAATAGAAATCAGTGGGAGAACCATTAAAATCAAGAGTCACTGGTTAGCTGTATCGTTTAAAATTTATTTTTGCAGGATTTCCTAAGAGTGTACAACTATGACGGTAGTAGTATGAAAATTGAAACGTTTAGGCTTTGTGGTAATATGTAATGATTGTGTACAAAGTGGTGTGTTTAGTACGAGGCCCAATGACTATATTTAAAAGTAAGAACAACTAACGTTACTGTAGACAATTCTTGAATATCTGACTAAATAAAGGGTTTATAACCAACTGTGTACATGATAATTACAAATGCGATAATATTTATGTTTGTATACTGTCATTAAAACATGTGACCATCATTAAGCTCTGTAACCTTTATATCATATGACCGTGGACGGAAAGTCAATAACCTGTAAACAAGACACGTAGAATAAATTCTTAATGCTTGGAAATCAAAATATACAATGCTTCAACAAGAAAATTAAATAAAATACGGAAAAATTTATGGATCCCAAGTTTCATGTAACTGTTTACTAATGGTGAATAGTAATCGATACATTGAAAATAATAGTTACTAGTTAGCAGAATGTTATAATAAAGAAATGAAGTATGCTAGATACTAACACTGATCTAGACTATTAGAAGTACCTTGAATGAACAGTAACTTAACATGATAATTGAGATTGAAAACATTGTTATAACTACAGAATATGATGTATATGGGTTTTTCGCTTGTGGATATCTCTTGACAATAAACAATAACCTAATGAAAAGCTAGTCACTTTTAAAAATTTTGATATAGGACTTCTCAACAGTTTTACATCCACGACATTAAATCCAAAATCGAAGCTTGAATATGAACCACTAGATTCCAAATCAGTGACCAAAAGGTTAAGAGTTTGTCACGAGATCTGAAGGTCATGGGTCTGATTCTTGGCAGGGTCGTGTATTCACATTGGTGATTTTCATACCAGGAAAGTACAGTCCCTTCAGTACTTCCTGGTTGTTATTGCTTCTCTGACTGTTGTCCTGACGAATACCACATATAAATAAAAATATACCATAGAAATCAAGTGTTATAAAATCAGATTGTTGACTCAATAAATTATTTCACTTCAACTTGAAGAACCTTTTGTGATTTATGGAATCATTAGCGAAAAATCCGTAAGAAATTCCGCTGATGATTGAATAGGTTAAATTTTCAGGATAAATCTTTATTTAAAAATGAAGGGGTATTTAGTTGCCGAACTAATACTTAACCGACAGTGGAATCATCTATGTCGAATAGATGGAATATTGCTAGCAGTAGAACCCAGAAAAAACGTTTCATCCCGCTTGAGATTTATCAGTTGAATGTACCTGGATACCGCTGGTAGCCACATTTAATCTATTCTACATAAACGTGTATCATGAGAGCTAAATCGAGGCAATTTGCACATGATGCACATAAACTAACACCGGCCAAAATTCGGTCGACCTATCAATAACAGGGTGGTTCAAACCACTAAAAATCATGTAGATTAGTCTGTTAACGCTAGATGATAAGACTTCTTAAATTTGCGTGGATAGTAGATTTAAACTTAAGGCAATTTATTACGCAGGACTTTACCAGTTCGGTAGACATACCAGATAAGTAATATAAACCAGTTGAGTTACAGAGAATATAAGTAAATCGATAATTTTTATTTGGGAACTAAAGTTTTATCGGCTATGGTTGTGTGCTAGAAGAAAAATTACCTTCGGCTACTAATCCAGAATGATTAAAAGTGAGCACATATATGATAAAAATTCGTGAAAAAGGGGTTTACATAACACAGCTTGCCGTTAGTTAGAAAACCATTGAAATTTAATAAGCACTGAACAGCCACCATATTCTATTATACGATTTCTCGTAAGTGCGCAACCACGATCACACCGGGACCGAAACAATGACCTTAGGATTTCATGGTATGTAGTTAATCTTTAGAATATTGAGTCAAGATATACTGGTTTACATTTATAGGCTCGATTAATTTTCGACATTCCCCAGCTATCGCTGATCATAGTGTCTCACCAAAACTCCGAAGAACATCCTTTAGAATTAGTTATTAATGAGGACATGATTATTATTAATAATATAAGCCAATTTGTGATGTAAATTAGGAAACTCCACAATTTTGCATAAACCCCTTACATATTAAAAGTTAAATAAATAAACAATATGGCATGTGAAAAAGGTACGAATAGTTATAATAATACTTATAAAATGAACTACTTTTGTTGAAGTAAGTATGAGTAAATCAGTTCCTTTATCATTCCATAATAGTCGGACTGTATCAGCACGAAAAAACGATTTATTTGCAGTATGAATCAGTTGATTATCACGGCATTGATAAACTCTGACAAAAGAAGGTTGGTTCTGTTGGGAAAAGCAATGAGAAAGCAAAATACTAAAATGTTGAAGGTGTATTAAATGCTAATATAAGATATATTTCCTAGCAAACATGCAGTTCAAACTACCCAGCATTCTAAGCTCTAGATTAAATATTTATTTAAAGAAGGAATCCATATTTATTGTGAAGTTACAAAGCTGAACTGCCTTCTCATCTGATATTCAATTGTTCTGTCAATGCCGTGCTTTCACTGTACTGAAACTCTTCACTCCGTCCTACAACTTCAAGGTCACGTTTTGCAACATATTACTTATAAGCAATCTTATGGGTAGCGTCCGCTACACTGAAAAGGGACAAATTCTAATAATAGCTGGTGATCACCCAGTGATGAATGATTATCTGGAACCATGAAACTAAGAAATCAAACTATTCACTAATTCCTACCAATTAGATGACTTTATCTTTAAAGTCTTTATATCTTTATATAACTTAGATCGATAGTTAGTGACCAAAAGTAATAATATCATCCTACGGTCTCATCATTCATAGATGTATTTCAGCGTAGAGTTTTACCACCCAGTAATTCTATTCACTTAGTACATTTTTACTACTTCACCGAATGACTAATCACGTTTGATTGAAACAGGACAGAAACTTAAGATTGTTTTATTGATGGTCCCACTATACAATAGAAGTGCTAAAAAGATATATATGACTAGATAACTACAACGTTTAACTTTACGCCTTACAGACACAGAGTAGGATAGAGGGGAGTGATGAACGAAATAGGCACTCTTTAACAAGCAACGGGTGCACAATTTTCTGTAGTGTTGTGACATTCATCAAGGGGGAAAACATAACCTTGAGTCAACAGTAGCTTTGTGCCCTGTAAGCAAACCGAATGATAAAACAAGGCAGTTGATATCGAATCTTGTTCTTGGTAAATCGTCCCGGTGAAAGCATATGGCATAAGATATCTCTATAAGCACCATCGGGATAGATATTTTGCATGTCAATTTAATAGTAAGTCCTAAGTGTTACCGGTTAGTAACTTCTAAAAGGAAAGCTATAATTAATGAAGTCATATAACCGACTCGATATTCATGAGTTTTATAAAAGCAGACAGATATCAAGACTTTTTTTTCAACCTACTAGAAAAGTTTTCCGAAGGTAAATAAAGCTATGTATTTCGATTCAGACGTTAAACACCTTGTTACCTACCACATTAATACGAAAGCCCCACTTGTTAATGCTAAACCACTTAGATTAGGTTCGAAGAGGATGCACATAAAGAGGAATTGGGTAAGCTACTGAAAATGGGTAGAATACGTCTTTCGAACGGCTTATGGTCTTCTCCATTGCATATGGAGCCGTAGAATGGAAAACATTCGGTCATGTGGCGATTATCGCACAATAGCGGACAGATATTCTACATCACATATCGACAATTTCAATAGCAACATGCACGTAACTCGTATCCAAAAGTAGATTAGTTTAGGCGTACTGTAGTAAACAGAACACGGGTGGGACAATCGAATGCACTTAACACGAAATTACAGGACTTGTTAATAAAATCTAACAATCATAAATTAAATGTTAATTTGCAAACTGTTCATCAATTGTCTCAAAATGACTCAGACTTCATTGTTCTTGCATCTTCATACAAATTGCATTCTGTTTCGATTCTTTACTGTTCGATCCTTTTGTCTCTCTGCTGCCAGACCTTCTGTTCACGACTACATCATATACTACTTATATCAATTTAAGTAGCACACACCACAGTACCATCATATTCCGATATCACCCAATATCCCGAAGACAGCAATCACAATCCCGTCTGATCTACACATTTTTTTCAGAGTACCGATGAACCACGCCACTGAAGTGCAAACATTTTAGCGATTTACTGGCGAAGTCAGTAGTCGAATTTATTAGTAATAAGCAAAACGGCTGATGAACCTATGCAAAACCTCACATAGTTATTTTAAAGTTTGAGTGAATATGTTATAGTGATCAAACTCTAAAAATGCGGATTTTAGTCAAGAATCATTAAAATCCCTCGGATACGTAATAGATTCTTAAGAAATTACACCGGTACCAACGGAAGTGAAGGTGATAAAGGAGTACCGTCGAATATATTAAAATATGGATAATTGAATTGTTTAGAAGCCATCTTATTTAGGGAAAAATAGATTGTATACAAAGGTTTCGCTTTGTTATTTACCTTTTCCCCAGGTATATACACTGCAAGGTTTGGTTGACTTGAAGTACTCATAGAAAAATGGCGGATACCTTTTAGTGATAATTTAGTATACGGTTTTTCAGCTGAAAAAAGAAGTTTAAATTGAACACGTTAAATGTACAAAAACATTTTCAAATTAAATAAGTAGAACTATACGTAGCATTCAAAATTCCTACTTGAAGTTTAACACATCTTAAGAACTCTTATGTAAAAGATTTCAGTTTTTAGTGGAGTTCCGTTCTCTAAGCTGGATGGATTTGATCATTGTTCTTCTGAACAACATCATCCATCTGAATCATAAATATTCGCCACCACCTCAAAAGATCTCAGTTATTAAACCTTACTGAAAAATTTAAATTGACTGGGAATCAGAGAAGTGTACAATGAAACATGTATTCAAGGCTTACAATAAAATTAATCCAATTTTACTACAGAAGCTGTATTTACTTCTCCTACTTTATCAGTGACTTAATTGATTTGATGGATCTGAATTTCGAATAAGTTGGATATGTATAAAATTTGTGACTCCATAAAACACGTCTATTAGCTTATAAATATATATTACCTTAAAGAAGAAAAGAATATCAAATATAATAAACTTTTTTAAAATAAGTGAAAATTTGTTGAGGAATGTAAGCATCCAGCTCAGAAAACAAAAATCCATCAACAATGAAATAAGAGTACACATAAACTAGTTTAAAACTATTATTTGTTTGATTGTTGGAAAAAAGGAAAAGAAAAGAACTATGAAACATACGAACATATTTTCTGATAAGAATTAATCTGTATATTTCTAATGGTGATTAATCTAGTAACTGAATGATGATATTTATATAGTGATAATTGTAAGCTGTCAGTAATTATTTTATTATCTTTTATCCACTGATATTTACAGTCAGTTAAATGTGCAGTCTAAGCGTTCTTGTTATGTATTTAATAAAATTCATACATTGAGTTATCCTTTACTTTGAAAATTTACTTAGATATAATCATGTAAATCATGAATGTTAATAGTATGTGCTTGAGACTATTCATTTGAACTTGTGATCTTCCAGTTGGATATGTGGGAAAGTTGACCATGAATACGGTTTGTGGAATTAGACATTTAGTGATGGAGATAAAATGGCAATAAATATTACCAGGTATTTTTATGAAAATAATTCGAAGGAAATTATGTGAAAACAGTTAAAATATTATTTTCTTTTAAATTATTGATTTTGGATAATCACAAAAACAGCATTATTTATGAGTGCAGTATTTTTCGCGATTCCAAGACTAATATAACGTAACCCAGTAAACTCTGAGCCACAAATTTTCCTGGAGGTCTAGTAGTACTATATACTGACCTAATAATAGATAGAATATGATTTAGTTCATATCCGAGTGTTCTCATCACCAGAATTACTAACCCATTGATTTGAAGAAATATTGAACTAGTTAAATATCAACTGAGGTTAATCTGTGATGAATGTCACCTATAAATTGAGCGAATCTCCATACGCTAACTGCATCGAAGAATATTTTTAACTATATTTTTAGAACACTACGACCAGATAATTAAGTATAAAATAATGCTATTGATAAATTAACAACTGAGATGAAGAATGAAATAAAATAGAGGTGATTGGTAAGCAATGATCAAAACCAATGAATTTAATGTAGTAACACTACACTACATCTAAGCTGTTAGGATAAGTAGATTCTGTTTTTAAAAAAAACATATGTTTGCTTACAAAAATAGATAGCAATTACATAATTATCTAGAGAAAACCTCGACATTGCAAAACTAGAAAAAGAAAGAAAGCAAGGGTAGCTCGAATGATTTAAATTGGCAAAATGATGAAGATCAAGAATGAGGGGAATAATAAACAAAATTTGAGAATCGGTGGTGCAAAGTATAAATCATTTATTAAAGACTGATTTTACAAAGGTATAATTAAAGGGATGGAACCCGTTATATTTTTCCAGTTTCTGAATAACTGTTTATAGACGTACAAACAAAATGATTACGTCAAAAATATCAGAGATTGCACCAACATGGATAGATTTAAACGTAGTATCAGCAAATCAGACACATATTCCAAGCAATCTAGTAGACCTATATACTAATCAATCAAATGTGCATACAAAACGTAAATTATGATCATCAGTTGTAATCGCCTTTTACAGTTTTAACTGGATTACAGTAATATTCTATGAATGGGACAAGTAACTGATTTAGGGTGAACGATTTTAAAAAGCCACCTATCAACCAAATTCTACTCTGGCGTATGAGACGATAGTTGAGATATTTCTGTATTATATTATGTAGACGAAATCTTTCTAAAAAGACAAATATAACCCAAAAATTCCATAGGCAAATGTTTGTATAAAAGCCTTTCCGCCCATAAAAGTCATTCTGAGTTATACATTACTATAATTCACTACACTTATATATTAGACGAAAATATTTGGAATACAATCCAATGAAACATAAGAAATCACCAATCAAGTATTGGTTACTCTATTTTCGACAAAATTTTATGAGTGTTTCAGGGTATTAATCCGGTTAACAAATCACTATGTAAAACGTTATGCTACTTGCTAGTAATGTAATCAGTTTAACTAAAAATAAATCGATGGCACACAGAACAGACAAAACAACGTGAGAATTTTGGTTGGAAATGTTTACCGAATTGAAAAAAAAACAATGGTTTGAAAGCTAATCTAAATTAGCTCATAAACATTCAATACTTGTCCGTGAAGACCGAAAGCAACGCTACAACGGTGATTAAATCAGGACTAAACCAATAGCCTGAAGCATTAGCAATAAACATTAAAATAGCTGTTGTCTAGAGGAATCTTCGACATTATTTTCAGGTAAATAATCACGATTTTACAACAAATGTTAAATCGAGAAAACACTTTAAAACAAAAAACTTTTATCGCAAAATAAAATTAGCAAGTTACTTTATACCACTCCTAGCCATTCGAGTGAAGCTCTGGTATTTAATTTAATGCTTCAAAAACCTGGGACACTTGATAAAGAATTCGAAAGTGTAGCCGACATATATTGAACCTCAGTTAGGTTGTAAAGAAAAATAAAATATGTTTACCTTTGGATTAATTTAGGACTGTGTATTGGAATGTTCAACCAAGACCAAGGTCAGGATTTTCAGTACAAATGTCAAGACAGTTCTACTGTATGGGGCAGAAACCTGGAGAACTACGAAAGTCATCATCCAGAAAATACAGGTGTTTATTAACAGTTGTCTACGCAAAATACTTCGGATCCGTTGGCCGGACGCTATCAGTTACAACCTACTATGGGAGAGAACAAATCAGATCCCAGCGGAGGAAGAAATTAGGAAGAAGCGCTGGAAGTGGATAGGACACACATTGAGGAAAGCACCCAACTGCGTCACAAGACAAGTCCTCACATGGAATCCTCAAGGCTAAAGGAAAGGAGGAAGACCAAAGAACACATTACGCCGGGAAATTGAGATAGACATGAGAAAAATGATCAACAATTGGATGGAACTAGAAAAGAAGGCCCAGGATAGTGGGGGTTGGAGAATGCTGGTCGGCGGCCTATGCACTATTGGGAGTAACAGGTGTAAGTAAGTAAGTAAGATGATAGATATAATGAATAAAATTACAAGTACGCCTGATTGATATGGTGGTTTATGGAGATTTTTGAAATTTGTAGGTTACATCACGAACTGAACTTAGACAACCACCAAGACCCAGTAAACACAGGTCAGGTTTTCATTCCAGTATGAAACTCCTCAGCAGTATGAATGCATGACCCAACCACACTTAGTCTTCAGAATACCAAGTCGACATCCAAAGGTTTACACTTTTAAATCCGACCAATTTGGGAAACTATGCAACCATTATACAATGCTATTGGTGAGTAACAGTTTCTCACTCAAAGTCTGAGAAGCTACTCTCAAAATCAATCACTAGTAAACATATGGTCATTATTCGTTTAAAGGATAAGGGACTACTCCCATTTTCTTTGCAAAAGCTAGGTGATTTAGCAAAATTAAGTACAATTTTCACATGGAAACTCACAAAATAGATTGTTTGTATACATATGAATTTCTCCATTGACAAAAATCGAGCAAAAGGATGAATCGGAATTCCATTGTGGTTGCCTAGTAAATTTAATATATGAAAGAATTAAGGAATTGCATCAAAGACAGTGTGGTTATCATGCGAACATTTAGGTTGGTTATGACACCAAGGTCTGCTGTTAGTCAGCATACCTTTCGAAAAATTGTAGCCTTATCAACAAAGGTTAGCATAATTCGTTTAATTCACATATTTGAATTACTTAGTTTATAAATAGCTTAGTGAAATCATACCAATAAAAGCAATTCAGTTCATACATCATTAGTACAGCAAGATGAACAACGGATTCAAAGGAGTGGTTAAGTCAATGGTGGTAATATATAAAAGAAAGATTGCATATAAGGATATAGTAGATAAATTTAAGCAGCGATGCCAAGTTTTGGTTAGGCCACCCCTTACTTTCTTCCAACAATCCCCAAAACTAGTCAGCATTGCGCATCGTGGTAATCGGTGTTCAGGCATACGCAACACGTGGCCCAACCATCTCAGTCGATGTAGATTCATAACCTCATCAACCAATTTACCATCATTACCTAATACCCTACGTCTAACTTAACTATTACTTACCCAGTGATTCCAGAAGATGCGAGCAATATTTCTAAGGCATCTGTGATCGAATACTAGTAACTCACGAATATCTACTATTAATGGCCACTTTTCGCAACCGTAAAGTAGAAAAGAATGGACTGCCGCACAGTATACTCGTCCCTTAATTGATAGACGGATATTTCGCCTTCGCCATAGGTGGCGTAAGTTAACAAAAGCCAAACGAGCTTTTTGAATCCGCGTACAGATTTTGTCAGACACTAACCAATTAGGGTTGGTCAGGCTTCCAAGATAAGTGAAGTTGTGGATGCTTCCGACTACTTCACTGCCTGTCCTTAATTCATGTGTTGACGCAGGCCAGTCCTGAAGAAACAACTTGCATTTAGAGGAAGAAAAGCGCATTCCAAGCATTCTGGCATTGTTGTTTAGTGCTACTAAAACACTCGGCATTTTATCAGCGTCTTCAACAAACAGGAATATATCATTTACGTATGCCAAGTTGATAAGTGGACCTCCTGGTAGGAGATCAATACCCGAGAATTCAGTCGACGAAAATGTTATTTCCATCAATAGGTCTATGATGAAGTTAAACAAAAATGGAGAAAGTGGACAGCCTTGACGGACACCACTTGAGGTTGCAAAAGCAGATGACAGTTCGCCATAAGCTCTGACTCGACTAGTAGTGTTCGAGTAAAGAGCCTTCACAAGGTTTATGTACTTCTGAGGTACGCCTTTCAATGACAGACACTGCCACAGAATCTCGCGGTCTACGGAGTCAAATGCTGCTTTTAAGTCAAGAAAGACCACCATTGTCGGACGCCGATAAGTATGCCTGTGTTCTAGAACCTGACGAATGGTGAATATGTGGTCGATGCAGCCACGACCAGGTCTGAAGCCAGCTTGGTTCTCTCGTGTTTGCAGTTCACGAGTCTTAGTTAGGCGTCTGATAATTATCGAGGCTAGTATTTTAGATACTATATTAGTTAAACTAATCCCTCTGTGGTTGTCACAGGATGATTTTGACCCTTTCTTATATATTGGGACGATAAGTGATTGTGACCAGTCAGATGGGATAACGTCTAACTCCCAGATCTTAGCTAAAATATTAGTCAACCTAATCGCTAAAATTGGACCACCATCCTTAAAGACCTCTGGAGCCAATCCATCTGGACCAGCTGCCCTTCCTCGTTTCAGATTAACTATAGCCTTTTGAACTTCAGCAAGAGTTGGGGGACCTACTTCAATGTTCCATTCACTGTCTGGGAATGGAGGGTAGTTGTAGAGTAGCTGAAGGCCAGCTGAACTGTTCTCTGAAATGTTCCGCCCATCGTTCTAAACGTCTGGACTGAGAGCAGATGAGGGTGTCGTCTTTTTCCGAAATAATCTCACTTACACTTGACTTATTAATTCCAGTTTCTTTTATTAGTCTGTAAAGCTGTCTTGTGTTCCCTATAGTCGCCGCCTTTTCCATCTCTTTTGCTTTCGTTGCCCACCACTGCTCACGGTCGTTCCTTAGACTTTTGTTAACCTAGATCTGATTTGTTATCGCTCTTCATCGTGTTCAGAACCTGATGGGACGAGTTTGCGAGAATCCATCAGTGCAATAGACCTTGAAGAAATCCATTGGTTCTTTGTAACCCTGTGGTTTAAGTCACTGATAGATGTCACTGCTGTTTCCACAGCTGTTTGTATCTTTCCAAGCAACATCTGGGTCAGCCTCGTTTCAGAACTACCTAAGTGTGACCTCAGTTGTTCCTGGAACCTACTTTTGGTTTTCTCGTTACTCAATTCAGTTCTAATGGGTCTTTTTAATGTGGCTTTTTTGCGTCCAGTGAGGCGCAAGCAGATGCGTGCCCGTATTAGGGCATGGTCGGAGTCCAAGCAGGTACTCCAGAATGAGCGACAATCTTCTACCGACCCTCTCCAACGATGACTGATGGCAATATGGTCTATTTGAGTCCATCGTTGGTTTGGTGTAGGGGGTCGCCATGTTAGACGATGTCTCTCCTTATGCTTAAAATTTGTGTTTGCTAAAAATAAACGATTGTCTGAGCATAGTTGCAGCAGACGATCACCATTATCTGTTCGTTGTGCCGGAATACTAAAATACCCACCTAAATGCCTTTCTGTTTGGTTTAAACTACCTATCTGGGCATTAAAGTCACCTGCTACGAGTACTATGTCTGAGCGTTTAGCTTTCTGAAGAAGTTCAGATAGCTTTCTGTAAAATTCATCTTTCACTTCATCTGAGCTGCAGTCAGTGGGAGCGTAGGCAGAAACGACAAAAAGGCAACGACGTGTGTCCCTATCCTTCCGAGTTCTTACGGAGCCGTTTAGCCGAACAGCACATAAACGACTGTTGACGGGGATCCACTCTAGCAGTGCTTGTTCCGCCCTCATGCTTAGTGCTATGCCTACACCTGCCAGTCCACGAGAACTGGCCATCGGGTCACCAGATACACGGAGGGTGTATCTCGTTGGCTCTCCGTTTTGCCGAGGTGAGGTCAAGTGAATGACCACACTGGGATCCTGTATGCGTGTTTCAGAGACACAGCATACATCAATGGAAAGAGATTCTAGGGTTTTAGCCAAGGAAGCCTGTTGACCGATTTGACATAGGGTGCGTACGTTGAAGGCTCCAATGTGTAGTTTGGAGCGAGGTTTCAGTAGACCTGGGACAGTGTTTTGCGCACTAGAATCGTTGGCTATGGTGACACTTGAGGAGGAAGCCGAAAAAAGAAGTTTAGAGGTAAAAGTCGATGTAGGAGGAATAATAGGAATTGAAGAGGGAGGTTGATTATGAATACAGTGGTCTTGAGTGCTGTTAGAGGTATGAGGGCGGTTATCACTTCCCGGTTGCCCACACCGTGGAAGGGTTGTTCTGGAGGTACCTGAAAAGGAAATTGGATTAGAAGTGGTCTTAGTGACCTGAAAGCGTGACCGCAGTGCCCAAGGGACAACTGCTTGAGGTCGGTCACACACGACCTTTTTATGGGTAATTTTTGTGTTAGCTCCGTACTTGTTGAGACCTTACCGCCGGAGACGGATATCCGTGGGATAAGGCGAGGTGTGCATTTTTAGGGTCGACCTTTTCTAACCCCACTCCTCCTTGTGGGAAGGCAGCATCGCTGTCATGCTGGTTGTCTGAAGGAAACACCTTACTGCTGTCACACCTCTGTACAGTCAGCAGTACGACTTCGCCTTCGGACCTTGGGTTTGTTGCTTTTAGTCTTACCGCTCTTCAACCGACCTGTCTGACATGGTAGGACCTTGAGGAACGGTTGTTCCAGCCAGTATAGCTCGGTTGCTTCATCACGATAGGCAAGCCCGACCACCACGTCAAGGTAGCAACAACGATCGAGTTACCTTTGCTCAGATTTCAAGTTTCTAAATTACATGAAAAAAACTTTATTATCTCACTTATCCATATTTTTACCGGAATATATTCTTGTCCCCAAACATTTTCATTACCACTAGTATTATTGCTACCTCTATTACCCTGAGATTTGAGTTGACAATTTCGTCTCAACGTGTTTATAGAGTGTGCCAACTTAAACCGATGCACATATATGTCAATTTTTACGTTGTTTATGGCTTGTTGTTTGGTAAACTTTTTATAACGTGACAAACATCTACAATTTCACACACAAATTCCGAGTGCGATGGAGTAGTAAATATCTTTTGTTTATTTGCTGAAAGGCTTTAACTCTACCATCCTATTTATATGTAAACATATAGGCTAAGTATAAATATTCATCCAAAAAATGTGTAATCTATAACTTAGTTGAGATGTTTAAATATAACTAGAAATAAAGTTTGTTACAATGTGTTAAACATACACTAGTGAAGGTAATTACATTTTTTAGTTAACAATAGTGTCATATATAAATTTTAATTATTAGTAATCTAATTATGTTAATGCATAAAGGTTGCTTGATGACTGATTATATGTAAGAAGAATGTCAAACAAAGTGTTATAGCCTATCTAATCATAACAGTTCAAAAAGGAAACATTAATTACTGGCTGTAATTTTATTTGTGATAAAGGATGGGAAGATTGTTTTCAGTTCACTGAATAATGAGAATCATTCGTATCAATAATAAAAGCTTACCATCCATCACCTCTTCGGAAAATATATTCTTTGAGCTTTGTTCTATTGATCATGTCATACACAAATATATTTGGCGAACCAGATGGATGTTCATTGTCGACTATTATTCATTGAAATCAAGTTTATAAACTAAGGAATAAAACTTACTTTTAAATGACGTGTAGATGAATCCAAATTTTCCACACGGTGATAGTCGAATCCGTGAAGCTGGCTCAACAGGGATAGTGGAAACAACAGATCGATCATTGACGTCAAGCATAACTACACTGTGACGTATAAAGCAAAACTAAATAATCCTTACCTCGTTTCATCAAGGTAACCCATCCACATGCTTGACTTTGCGATAGATAAACATTTCACAGTTGTAGATGGTTTGCTAAAATATCTTTATGGAAAATATTCAAACATACTATTCCAATTGAATAATCCCTTTATTTTCATCTAACTCGTATATCCTCAATCCATCACTGGCCCAACCTTAAATACAAGTAAAATTTGAGTGGATAACTTACTAACAAATACCATGATTGTGAATGAATATAATCTTCTGAATACCAACCGCTACCTGAAATTTGAATAAGCAAACAGGTTTATCAAAAGCTTTTCCAGAACAAAACTGATATGAGGCGATTGAGAAATCAATGTATAACATAGTAAATAATAACTGCAATTCAGTTACTAATAACCACAAAAAAAGTTAATCAAGTTATTCGGCAGTGTACAAAATAAATATCATTAAGACCTGAATATTTTTAATGTCCTAACACATATCTAAAAAATGTATGTTAGGGTAAGAGTTCAAAAACTTCAAGCATTCATAACAACTTAAATATCATTGCGTTTTAAAAGAGTATGAAAACGAAAATAATTGTAAGAGCCAATCGCAGTAATATGAGTAAATAAGAAATGATTTACAGTTACTGAATGCATAAATCTGTCATTCTTATCAATTTTATGATTGCATATGTGTTTTAGCTCTTTAATTTAAAGCATCCTGAAAACCTCAGTTATCAACTAATTACTTCACATAGAATCTGGTAAAACCTAGCACCGAAAAATAAACTGCGCCACACAAATCAAAAGACATAGTTGCGAAGAAAGAAGAGATGGAGGGGGATGGGATAAAAGAAAGAATACAGTCAGTGCTTTAATGGCTTTGACCCCGAATGCCCTGGTACGGCCGAGAGTGGGGTAAGTCCGCTCTCCCTCTCGAAATACTCTCACACGGCCGCGCGTATACAGCCTCTGCCAGGGAAGTCCTACTCATTGCCTTCTCGTGGCGGGGGTGTTGTTTACGAAAATGAGAGGACGAAAAGCGAATGTCCGGCGCTTTAACCGGATCACAAACCAATGGTGCACATGGGCTCCAGTATCCTGCGGGAACAAATGGCGTATGAACCAATTGTTGGTCACCGGCTACCATGGGATTGCATCTCCTTACGATGCTCCACTGCCTTGTGGGTTAGACCTTTAGGTCAAAGGCTCGGGGTGTGGCCCCCTAAGATAACCACCTGCTTCGGTTTGGGCACCCGGGCAGTATCACAGCCCACACACAAACGATGAACTCTATGTCTATGGCAACTGCTTTTCTCGCTCCGAAAAACAATCAATCGATTCAAATAATTATCATTACTATTATTGTCATTATTAATACTATTATTGTCATTACTATTATTGTTATTATTATTATTATTTTCCACATTATTCACCCTCTTTTATACTTATACAGCGGCTCGTCTTTGGTGGAAATCCGACTGTATCTAAACGTTCTCGAGTCACTGTCCGGTTGAAAATTGTATGTTACCATCGAATATGAGTACTGAAGCAGTTTTTCTGAAACCACGTGCGCCATTCAAACTGGCTGCCTTCAACGTTCGCACATTTATGCAGGTCGGACAACAGATAGGGCTGGCTATGTCTTTGGAAAGTCTTAATATTGACGTTTGTTGTCTATCCGAGACCCGTATTCAAGACTCTGGCGAAGTACTACAAATTCGATCTCCATCTGTCGCTTCGAAAAGCTTGTTTTACGTGCGCTTATCCGGGGACCCTGTGGCATCTTCGTCTGGTCTTGCTGGCGTTGGTGTCGCACTAAGCGCTAGAGCTGAGGCAGCACTAGTCGATTGGATCCCCATTAACAGTCGGTTATGTGCTGTTAGATTAGAAAGTTCCATCAAAGTGAGAAGAAATCGGCGTGAGAAACGATGTCTTTTCGTCATCTCCGCCTATGCCCCGACAGATTGCAGCCCGGATGCAATCAAGGATGAGTTTTACCACCAGTTATCTGTTCTTCTCCAGAAAGTGCGTTCGACAGATATTGTAGTACTAGCCGGAGACTTGAATGCTCAGGTCGGGCGTCTAGGCACAGAAGAGAGTCGTTTAGGTGGCCGATGGGGACTCGTTGGTCGCAGGTCAGATAACGGGGACCGTCTACTGCAACTTGCACAGACCACAACCTGTTTCTGGCTAGCACTAACTTTCGGCACAGTCATCGCCGATGTGCCACCTGGCGTCCTCCCTCTGCATCTCAAGCCTGGACTCAGATTGATCACATCGCGATCAGCTACCGCTGGCGTGGTTGTGTACAAGACTGCCGCTCCTTTTGGAGTACCTATCTGGACTCTGACCATGCCTTGGTCTGCGCCAATCTTGCCTTACTTTTCAGTGGACAACGAAGTGACCGCCACCAACGGATTGATGTTAGCAAGCTGGTTGCAACTTCTGTTGCAAGTAAGTATCGAACCGAGCTAGCCTCTAGGCTAGCTACCACTCCACCGAAAAGTATAGATGAGCATTGGTTGCAATTGCATGACGCCATGAAAATGGCGGGAACAGTCAGTTGTGGGTTTGCGAAACGTCCCGCTTTTAAGCACTGGGTTTCTTCTGGTTCCTTACAACTCATTGAAGCCCGTCGGTCTACTCCGGGTGACCGTGAGTTTGACCAAGGATGTTACGTAAGGAAATTGGGCAAAGCTTGCGTAAGGACCGAGAAGCCTGGTGGTCGAAGCGTGCTAATGAGCTGGAAGCAGCAGCTGCATCTGGTAACTACCGGAAGCTCTTCCAGCTCATCCGAGCCACTGGCAGCAGGATGTCTGGTGTGAGTCGATAGTTGTCCCTATCTTTAAAAAGGGTTCACGTAGTTCCTGTAACAACTATCGGGGGACAAGTCTACTTCCGATTGCGTCCAAGCTATTGGCTTCCGTCATACTTCGTAGGTTGTTCAAAACCCGAGAAACATTGACTCGCGAGGAGCAGGCTGGGTTTCGTTCTGGTCGAGGATGTATTGATCATATCTTCACCCTCCCCCAAATGTTAGAACATCGCCATACTTTTCAAAGGCCAACAATCGTAGTGTTTCTTGACATCAGGGCTGCCTTCGATTCGTTGGACAGGACTGGGATTGTCTATTGAAGAAGGGTGTGCCTGAGAAGTTTATTAACATCCTAAAAGCCCTATACACAAACACCTCAGGGAGAGTGAGGACATACAACTACCTCTCTCCATTGTTCCATTCGAGTAGTGGGGTTAGGCAGGGTTGCCCAATCTCACCATTCCTCTTCAACTTTGCCATCGATGACATTCTGGAAACAGCTCTGATGAATGTAAGTAATGGTGGTGTGGATCTGTTGCCTGGAGAAAGACTTCTCGACCTTGAGTATGTGGATGATATTGTCTTACTGTGCGATAATGCCCAAGCCATGCAATCCCCACTTAATCAGTTGGCAATCAGTGTCCGTAGGTATGGTATGTGCTTTGCACCTTCGAAGTGCAAAGTACTTCTACAAGACTGGCAGGATTCCAATTCTGTACTCACCCTGGATGGTGAGCAGATAGACGTAGTTGAGAAGTTCGTGTATCTGGGTAGCTGCATAAGTGCTGGTGGGGGTGTGAGTGATGAGATCAATGCACGTATTATAAAAGCCAGAGAGGCTTATACCAATCTGGGCCATCTTTGGCGCCTTCGTGATGTTAGTCTGGCTGTAAAAGGTCGGATCTACAACGCGTCGGTGAGAGCAGTTTTACTCTATGCTTGTGAAACCTGGCCTCTCCGAGTTGAGGACGTTAGACGACTCTCTGTGTTCGATCATCGCTGTATCCGAAGGATTGCTGACATCCAGTGGCAACACCATGTCAGTAATGCAGAGGCTCGGCATCATGTGTTCGGGCACAAAGATGATAATTCAATTGGTGTTACCATCTTGAAACACCGACTTCGGTGGCTTGGACATGTTCTACGAATGTCGTCCCAGAGAATTCCACGTCGTGCATTATTTGCCGACTCTGGGACTGGTTGGAAGAAGCGGAGAGGTGGTCAGTGCATGAAATGGTGTCGTGACATGAAAGAAAGCTGCAAAGGACTGGCTTGTGTTGGTCCTTCACGACTCCCTGGTTGGGGTCTGAGAGATGGTGCTACACAGTGGCTAGAGACGTTATCAGATATGGCTCAGAATAGAAGCCAATGGCGATCCTGCTGTAACCTTCTTTTACTTTCTTCATAAAAGGTGGTTGTGTCTCCCTTACCTGAAAGGTTTCTTCCGATTGTACCTTTGCGTTCCCTGATTACTAGCACATTACCTTACACCAATCTCTTCGTTATTGTTCTCTCTTTTTTTTGTTGCGCTCCTTAGCTTTTTTTTTCTTTCTTTGTATTCCTCTCGAATTTTCATTGTTTTGTGTGGCGCATATATATTGGCGCTCTCTTGTACCAATATTCATGTGTCCAAATAAATAAATTAATTAATGGTGACACCAACTGGATCATCGTCACCGTGCTTAAGGAGATATTGACGTACTTCAGAATTACACACATATGTTTGCACTGGATGTCACCAACGATGATCTAACACAGCGAATAGTTGGACTAACTCAACAGGGGGAGACCAGATTCTGTAAGCGTAGAGTAGAACTTCCCTCATTGACACATTGTTGATCCGACCTTTCACAAGCAGGTTAACATCATGACGGTCCCAAAGATAGGCCATACTAGCATAAGCCACTTACGCTTTCAGTATTTGTAAATTGATTTCATCTGTCACACCACTATCAGCATCCATAGAACTACTCAGATACAAATTTTTCAGTTACTTCTGACGGGACACTACATAGTGATTGTTAGCGTAGGCTCATGACAGACGTGTTTTTCCCTTCTAATTTTCGTAGGCGACATCCCATTAATGTGAACGCAGTAAGTACCTTAGAGAGGTCGTAAACTCTCGACCCTCAGCTGTATCAGGGCTTTCTCCCACTTAATAGCTTTCTACATAAAATCAACATCGACAAATTTCGTAGATTGTTAAGAAGTCTTCATTTTATGTCGAAGATTTTTGTTTTGGAATTTCTCCAGTAACTCAGTAAGTCGGTGGTTCAAAATGAACAATAAGTCATCACAACTAGAGTCAACAAGTGTTTATTACTTCATTTAGTGACTGGTTTACCTACTTTACAGACCTTGGCCGAACTTCATAACTAACAATTTATTTACACACGTGACATATTGAGGACAACAGATGAACGAATATAGCCTTTGGGTGTTAAGTCGGTGGAATTGTCAGTTTAACTTCTCACAGACATGTTTTTTTTTGTCAGAAGGCCTGTGATTAGGTTTAGGGCAACATTTTGAAAGTAGTTAAGATTTATCTGCTCACGGAACGCCAGTACACATTAAACGAGACCATAGCTTCTGAAAATTTACATTACAGTGGAGAACATAGTGTTTCTAGAGAGGTATGTGGATCTAAATTCTCAATGGATTCGAACGAGCACTTGTTGGTTGTTTGAACACACAAATATTACTACATAGGGGCACCGAAAACACATGCGCCACACAAGTCACATGGTTTGTGTGTGGGCTGTGAAAGTAACCGGGTGCCCAAACTGAAGCAGATGGGTTTCTTGGGGGACTACATCCGGAGCCTTCGACCTAAAGTTCTGATCCACAAGGCAGCGGAGCAACGTAAGCAGATGCAGTCCTATGGTAAGTGGTGACCAATAATTGGATCATTAGAACTCTTTCCTCTATAACATACTAGAATGATAAACGGTATGACACTACTACTCTGTGCCAATGCATCTTATCTGTTTGCTCTTCAGATACCATAATCTAAAGCTACTACAGAAATAGATATTAGAAAAATATGACCAAACAAGATCAGCTGATCTTGACCTATGTTAAGATTCCGTGTTCCCAATCCGTTAATTAACTACTGAAACGCCCTACCAAAAGAATAGACACCAGCGTTACCAGTGAATGGTTAGATGGAGAAATTTTATTTTTACAACGAACACCGCGAACGCTACCATGAATATTAGCCTATCGTGGTTGTTGCAACCACCTCAGGATGCTGAGGACTGAAAAGTGAAATTATATGCTATACATAAAAATATCCATAAACTACTTATTCAGCAATAATATAACAGGGTCAACTTCTAACTTTTATGCAAAATTTAGAATTTGACCCTGTTATAGTATACAATCTAGATTGGATAACGTATGTTATACAGTACTCAGTGTAATTTATCTATCCTCTAAATCTAACATGGCAAACTTATTTGTAATACTAGACTGCTGGGGAGGTATGAAATACATCATACGGTGAAATGATCAAATCCCTCATGACCTTAGCTGACCAGATCATGTGTGTAGCAAATTACCGCAACGTAGCCCTCAAATAATCTGCCGTTTCGATGTACATTTTTCCAATAATTTGGCACCAAATGGTTTAGATGGTTCTGGACGCAATAGAAGAAACTTTCGCTTAACTAGTTTCCGTATCTAATAGCAGTGAATCACAGACACCTCTAGACAGGAACGTAGGTATATTAACGATAAAAGAGGAAAAATAAAAAAGGTTGGTAAATCATAATGGGATACTATCCTTGGTCCTTAAAAGTATGCTAAGTTTCCGCTTAAAGAGCTCCCGAGAAGTCGCTTGGGCTAGCTCATATGGCAGCGAATTCCAGTATTTGACTACTCTGAAGGTGTAGAATTTTTGTCTACAGTCCATTCTCCTGAGTTGTGTCTCCAGATTCTAGGCGTTACCCTCAAGATTTGTATTAGAACTAAGCTTAAGTAGGCGTTTAAGAGGATTTCCAAAAGTGTCAAGGATGCTGTAAGCCATTAAAAGGTCACATCTAGGACACCTGTACTCTGACGGGTACTGGTTCAGTGATTGGAGACACTCTTCATGAGACTTGAATTCGAGTGCTCGAACTGATTTCGTGGCTCGCTGTTAAGTGCGTTCCAGAGTGTCTTTATCCTTTCGGAGTGAAGGAGGAAGTACTGTGTTTTCTTACTCTAAATAGGGATGAATAAAACTGCTGGAGATTATGTGGAAATTTCCTCCGTCGAACTGACCGAAAATGCGCCTCAACATTATCATTGCAAGGTTTACTCGGAAGGCATTTGTGTCACAGTTAGCGTAAGACTTCAAATAGTAGGGTACCAGCACTCCTAAATCATTTTCAACTTCAGATACTTCTAGAGAAGAGTCCTTTAAGTTGTAACTATAGTCCGCAACATGTCTGAGATGGACTACTTTACACTTTGAAGTATTAAAGGTAAGTCCGTCATCATCTGCCCAACTTTGAAGTCGATTCAGATCCTCCTGAACTGCCAGTTTATCCTCTTGGTTGCGTATCACTCTCTCCAAAGTTTCACATCATCAGCAAAAAGTAATAAGTCAGAAGATACCTGCTGTGGAAGATCGTTCGCATAAATCAAGGAAGGAGAGGCTCTCGAACGTGACCGTGGGGGACCACACCATAACATTCCATAACATGAGAGAAGATGAAGTTGTAGTGTCGGTCATTATTTTGAGCCCATATACCTTATTCTGGTTTTCGGACAAACCAATCTATTCATTCTACTTGAGTCATATGTGTTGACTTTGCTAATTATTCGCTTATCAGTCTTGACTATTTTTATATGAGCGTATATGTGTGTACACATCACATCCCATGACTCATCACATGTCTGTAGCTTACTTTTGTCTGTCTATAAATATTGATTAACGCCTGGCTAAAAATGAGTTGGCTTACCAGCCATCTACCCTGCGCGTCATTTCGCTTTGTTCTATCGCGTTCACTTTACATACAAAACATATGTATTCAACGGCCATTCTCATTAATTGACTTATCTAAATTCCATTATTGACTAACGTGATTTAAGTCGATAATTGTATACGAGGATAGGTGATTACGAACATTCGTACCATCTGAAATGGAGTCAGATCCACCAGCCACTAAAAAGTTAACCCTAACCTTAAAATGTAGATTTTTTAGATGTGAAGTGAATCAAACGGTTAAAGATGGTTTGATACCTAATCGTTTGGTTGACCGCATCAAAAGCTTTTGAGAAGTCGAGATAAATGACGCCAACTTTCTCCTTGAGATCAAGGAGGATTGTCCATCTGTCCACCATAGTTAGCAGTTCGGCTATGCGAGAATAACATTTTCTGAAACCGTTCTATTGATTTGAAAAGAAGTTTAAGGTAGTAAATAGTCGTGCACACCGCCTTATATCAGGGACCCCATGATTATTGAGAGTACGGAGAGAAGTGCTACCGGTCAGTAACTTGAAGGTTCGTTGCGTCGACCTCCTTTGAGAATTGGTGTGATGTGAGCCAGCTTACAAATTTCTGGTAGTGTGCCTCGTCATAGCGAATGTGAGAACATCACGCTAAGCGGTGTTGTCAAGTTTGAAGTTTCTTCCCTCCGTGCATAAGAATAGACTGTTTGTTATTTGAAATTTAAATTTTGCGTTTCAAGAAGGTAGATTTGTGGATGGGGTGAGTTCTAATACCTTATATATTCTTGAAGAATGTGAAACACCTTGTGTTATCACCTACAATAACGATCAGGCTAAAGTTAGTTTGGGAACTTCTTTTGAAAGTTTTATCACCGGATCATTGATAACCGAACACAAGTGTCTGAAGAATTTTATACCAAAAACTTGTGCTACTTTTAGCTGACTCATAGATCCGGTGCGTCGCTTAAAAAGCATCAAATTTTACATTCATAGTCGATGTAGTTATTTTTTGTTTTCGAATACCTTGGTGTTTGAAGGTGCCTTATGAACTTCCGTTTCTCTCTTATTGCATTTGAAACTAGGGAACTTTCTTTACTGACAATGAATACATTAGTTAAACATACTATGTTTGATGGCAAGAGTTTTGAACAACCAAGAACTAAAATTTACTGTTATAATTGTGAACTAAGTGGACTGAAAATTAAATGATTTACGGCTAACAGAGCACGACTTAATTCTGAGTCTAAGTGATTTATCAGCTACCCTTCTCCTCATTAGTTTCTATAATGTCATCCTTTATTATGTGACCAAAAATAATGAATAAGTATTGCGAAAATTAATTCTAAGTGGTGAACTCAGGGCGGTGTTTCACTATTCACCGATTACTTCGTGCTCTAAGGATAAAAAATTGTGACAGAATTTGTTTTATTAGATGCAAAAGGTTCATAAAATGATATATACAGTGACAAGTACTGTAACATTCAAATTTTTATTTGTGAGAGAATGTATAATACCAGCATCACCAGGGAGACACTAGGTGGATGTTTTACAGTCACAAGCGAATAATACTGATACCTTACTACATAATACTTCAAGCTGGATGTACACATATTAACAAGATTTGCGATGGACGCTGAATGGTAAATGTAATATGATGGTGTGCAATAAGGTTTGATGAGAGATACAATCAAGACAACGTAGCCCAAGCACCCAGATGTAATCAATGTGTAAACTTTCGTCTTTACTTAAGATGTGCCGTTTTATCGATGATTTTAAGTTCACTCTTCGTGATTTTTACGCAACGTCTCACTTAACTAACACGATAGGGATGTGTGGGGTAGGCAATTATGTGATGTGCGTTATTAATCCAACAATATTACTGTTGGTTACCTTGTGGGTCTACATATAAAATATCGTCTACTGTTCACGCTGGATGAGAAGGAGAATAACCACTTTTCTTACATAGACAAGAGTGTATGAAATAAATTCTAGCCGTACGAATAGTTCTTGCTACTAAAAAGGACGGAGAAAATAAGATGCTTTATAATACTGCTGTCTCTGAGGTGACAGAAAAGCTAACAGTTTCTGATTTAAAGTTCAATTTCTACTGATACTTTTAGGAATGTCTACACGGTTTCACCAATGTTTGTAGTGATGTTTTATGTTAATTTGTTCACTAGTTTTATTATTAAAAGGCTTAAACTATGGATACCAGAATGGTCACTTGAATCACCTTGGAACCTCTTGATTTAACAGTATACCTGTATGGACTGCGCAACTGGAAACAGTTAAGAGAGTATGGGACTTTTGCATAATGAAACGTAATGACATTCCAGGACTCAAAACATCAACGCCTGCTGTGTTTGCGGATACTGTCAGTTCTAAATACAACATGATATACGACGGAATAAAGAAAGAATGACTTCTAAGGCTTATTCCTTTTAATTAGGTTGATTCATGTTAATATGTATTTTGATATGTTGAAGGAAACGAGGCTTAAGCATGGTGAAGAGCGGATATAGTACTGTATAAATAAAGATTCAAAAGAGCTGGGTGTAAAAGTTTGAGTAGATATCTAAAATATAATGAGGAAAACACTGTTTGGAAACACAAATGAATTTTTTCATGGCAGTTATTAAAATAGAATTTTTATTAAGCCATTAGTGCACCTCTCTTAACGTAACTGTGTGGTTTAGCTTACAAGAGGATTTCTCTGTGGGGAATGAAACCAATTCAAGTTTACAAACATGAGTCGAGAAGGTTATTTGGCACGAGGGTTAACATCAAATACTCAGTTTTCTGTTACAAGTTGTTAAAAATAAAATTGTTTCCCATAAGACGATTGTCGCGCACCTCATGAACCGAAAGTACATGGGTAAATTTCTCACGGTATGCCTTAAACCCCTTGTTTATCTATTTGTTCATTGTTTTTATCTCTCATTCTTTCTGTTACTGATTGTACCTATGAATTTTTTAGTATTTACCTGTTCGCATTTTCTGGAGTACAATCACCTTTTGGATGTTGTTAGGATTCTGAAAATAATTTCATCCCTATTCTACTGAACATTTTGAGTTATTAGGTTTGTCGTGACAGATGATCGTCCTTTTGATTGGTTTCATTTCGTCCAACTGACTAAATCTATCCCTGGTGTGATGATTAGAAGTATTTAAATTAGTATAGGGACTAGGAATCCCCGAAATAACACAATATAAACCAAACAGAACTAGATGAGCACAAACCAACGTATAATATTTAGAATTTGAAATCAGGCGGTCATCAAGTACAAAAATCACCAGTTTATACGAATCGAGTTTTCAATCCTTGTAAAGTCTGTCGTTTTGGATAGTTGAGTGCGTATTTTTGAAACATTTCTTTGTCTTTTCCTACAGCATGGTGTTCCCAGGTTATCAGGTGTTCGTTTACTATTTATCAAGTCACTATTGTACATTTTCTGCACTAATCACCTACTGTTCTGTGACTGACAGTTTTGTTGTTGAAACAGTAAGTGTTCCTTCTAGAGAACCGTTTAAATTGAGCACAGAGATTGGGTTTTGATATAATTTATTACGAGTAACTCAAAAACGCTTCGTACACTATACAGAAGAACGTAGTCAGGTTTAATCGAATAAACCTCGGTTCGTTAGTTCTGAGTCCAA